AGCCCCAGCATCCCTGCCACCCCCTGCCCACCCACTGCCCCCGGCCCCCGCTGTTAGAGGCTCAGCGAGCAGGGCCAGGTTGCCTTTCCCAGGGGAACAACTCGCATGTACCATGGCTGCTTAACCGCATCGGACAGATTTTGTTTTCCCTGCAAACGCTGCTGCAGCTGTCTGCTCGAGATGCCCATCTCCAGTGTGAGCTGCAGGTCTGATCCTGCCCAGTCCTCATTGCTCCAAAAATACCGCTGCCACGAGGAAAGGGAGTAGAAATTGTTCTGATTTCTGTTTTTATTTTATTATTTTATTTTATTTTATTTTATTTTATTTTATTTTATTTTATTTTATTTTATTTTATTTTATTTTATTTTATTTTATTTTATTTTATTTTATTTTATTTTATTTTATTATTTTATTTTATTTTATTTTATTTTATTTTATTTTATTTATTATTTTATGTTATGTTTTATTTTATTAATTTTATTTTTTGTTTTTAGAAAGCTGTAGCATCTTCTGTCTCCCGCCACGCATTACCCAGGGGCTTTGCATCTCCAGGGTGGGCCATCATTTAATGAGCACTTGGATCCCTGCATCCTTACGGGGTGAAACATTGGATAAATCCACATGTGCATATGCACAGTCAAATCCTGCCTGCTGCCAAAGGAGGATCCCCAGGGACCGAAGCAGCCAGTAGCAGACCGGCACATTTCTGAGATTCGGTGTCACCTACCAAGCTGTAAAAATTCATATGAGCTTGTCATTTGCAGGAGTTCACCTGGGAGTGCCAAGGAATTCACAACATGTCTTGTTTCATGTTTTAATGAAAAAAAGGTCCAGGCTGCTTCAAATAATGTATAGAAACAATAAATATAACTGTAGAACTGAGAAAAAAAATAGCTGTGGAAGAGAGAAAGAAGCTGTGAGGACATGATGAGTTTCCAAAACCAGATTTATATCTCCTAAATTTAAGTCCGCTGCCTGTAATGCCATCTTCCCACGAAGCACTATGAGCACTTCCCAAATAGCTGCTGAGTGATCTTCCTGGCACGGATTTTGGGTTGAGATCATCTTCAGGGTGCAGGTAGGGAAAGGGGCTGTGGCATCACTGAGATGTGCAGCGATGGGACATACCCATCAATATCAGGGGCAGAGCAGGCCCAGGAATAAAAGTCCAAATTGCTTATGTCTTCTTTAACTCTCAGGAACCACCTTTTGTGCAAGAACTTGTGCCAAAGAAAGCATCTGTGTAAAATCAGCTGCATCCTGGTGGTGCTCCCCTGTTCCTGCCTAGACACCCAAACCCACGGCGCTGCTCCAGGGCTTGCTCCCGTGGTCACAGACCCAGCCCTGTGCCAGGTCCTCAGCACCACTGCTGGGGACCAAGGAGGTGAGCCCCCCCAAGGGGGGTGGTTGCTGGTCTGCACGCCTGTTTTGGCAGCAGCAAGAGGTAGTGAAGTGCTGATTCCCCACCCTGTGGGCCCTCTCTGCTGGCCTTGGCTTTGGGGTCTGATGGAAGAAGCCAAAGAACAAAGAAAAAACTTGAGCCCATGGTGGTGGGGAGATGGTCTCTGCCCTGCAGAGGGACGTTGCCCTCTTGCAGCAGCACTGGGACAGGCAGTGGGGAACAGCTCGTGGAGGATGCAGGTGGTGGCTCTTGGAGCTTGATAGACAGAGCTTCCAACTCATCGCCTTTGCTGTAGAAAAGTCCTCGAGGCTTAGCTGAGAAATGGAAATATCAGTCCTGCCTCTGTCACGGGGAATAGGAACAGAAGGTGAAGCGAGGTGCCTGGACCGGTTTTCAGTCAGTGATTGCTCTCTGCGGTGGCAGACATTACTGTCCAGATAAAAAGCAGATTAAAGACATGAATCAAATTTTCTTGAGGCATTTTATGGGCCATGATTTTAAGTTAGAATGCAAATATGGTCTGGGACCGATCTGAGGCTCAGGAAAGAGAAGGAAGATGTGCTGGTGAGTAATCATTAATAGGCACGGACCAGGAGTGGGTGTCAGTGAGCCGGGCTCTTGTCTTGGTCACAGTGGGTTGTCTGGAGCAGTTCTGCTCAGCAGGGGTCACTGGGCTGTCCTCGTGTGTGCAAGATCAACTTGTGGCCTTGGAAACAAGTCTCCGAGATGCCCCCTCGCAGCTGGATATGACAAGCAGAACAGGGCAAACTTGACATCAGATAGCACAGGGATGAAATATTCTGTTTTGTGTGCTTGTTGGCTTCCCAAAGCTTTCCAGGGTCCACCAGAGCCGTGTTTGGCAGCGACCGGCTCTGTTGTGCAGGCTGGCTCGGTTATGCCAGCTGCATGATTTGATGACAGCTAATAAGCACAGCTTTGCTGAAATATTCTCTGAAGACTTTGCTTTGCCATCAAAATCCTCATCAGCAATTGGATTAACTGTAGGAAATGAACAGCTACAACACAAGATAGTGAGTTATGTTAAGACAAATTGGTGGGGTTTATTTAATCATATGGTCTGGGTCTGGATAATATTATTCCTATGGAGTTAAATACAACATAGAACCTGTGGGTACAAGAAAAAAAAATACTAAAAAATAGTTATTTCCTTTGACTAGTGCCTAAAATAAGAAAGATTAACTCTATATCAGAAAACCCTACAGGGCTGGGCTCTTACCTTAGGTTATATTGGCTCTGCATGGGTCTTGCATGCCCTCCCACCCAAACATCAGAGATTTTCTGGACCACAGCGAAGGGTATGACCAAGTCCTTTGCCAAGATTGTTGGCATGGGAGTAAAAAATCAGGTCAAAAGCCCTGACTGCATGATCTGCCCACCCTGTGCCCTCTGGTCATCATGCCTCTGGCATCAAAGACCCTGTAGACATTTTGCTAAGTCAGACTGAGGTTTTCCCAGGCACAACGAAAGGCTGAAAATCCTTGGGTGATGTGGCACCAGGCATCAAAAAAAAAAAAAAAGCCAGAGACACAAAGGATAAGAGACTGGCTTTTTCTAGTTTTATTTTGTGCTGCAAAATTTGGCTCAGTAAATGTGTGATGAAATATCTCCCAGCTTCATTGCCTTGTGTTTTGTCTGACCTGCAACCAAACTGCTGCCCCAAGGCACAGGCTGGTCTGTTTGGGTGAGCAGTGGGATTAGCACTTTAACCTCCTCTTGCACGTTTTCTTGAGGTCCCACGAAGTCCTGAAGATGTTAAATCTGTCTCCTATCACTTGCTGTAGCTGTTTTCCATTGGGAGGAGCAGAGCTGAGCTATTCACCATGAGTGACTCTGTCAGTGCCCAGCAAACACAAAGCGTTAGGAGGCATCTCCCCGTGGTGGAGGTGTTGCCCAGTTCAAACAATGGGCCAGGTCCTCAATTCATTATTTATTTTTTACCTGGGAACTAGGGCAGCCAAAATAGCCTGTAGTGTGTGTGGGGGGGACAGGGTACATAGACACCTCTTGGATGGGGTTGGTAGCTCTGCCATTCAGGAATGGTGGGTCTGGTCCCACCTCCTCTGGTTTCAATTAATAGGGCAGTCAAATCATGCCATTACCTGACAGCATGAGAAATTATCACCTTCAGAAGCTCTGCTGCTGGTGGAACACACTTTTGTTCCCCATTGCCTCTCTCAGGGGGGCACTACGGAGGATGAGTTTGCATTTAAGCGACGTTGTGTATAATTACTTATGCACTGTTTTGCAAGACTTTCATTTCCTCTAAATCCTCTCCTGTTCTTTTTTTTCTGCTGGCATCTGGCTTGCTTTGTGCACCCTCTGTTTCCATAAGGGTGTGAACAGAAAGAGCCTGGGGCTCCCCCAGCTCCTGTGCTGGCCTGGCCCAGCCCATGGGTGGAAGGGAGATGGAAGCAGAAGGGATCTGGGACAAGGAGGCATCACCTGCACACCTAGACTGTGTCTTGGGATGACACTTGGTGTCTCACAGTGCTGTTACACCTTGACATCTTGTGCCAGTTCCAAAGATTAACAAAATAATAGGAGTTTCCTTCCTAAAAGGAAGATGAGGCATTCAAAAAAGTGCATAAAAAGGCCGGTGTCCTATCTTGGGGCTGATACCCAGCAAAGAGCCATCTCTAATGGTCTCTCTGGAGTCTCATCCTTCAGTGCTGAGCTGCCTCTCTCCTTAGCTCAAGAGCCAGAAGTTTTGCTGTGGTGCCTGGAACTGCACTGGGAATGTAGGAATTAACGTGCCGGGCTGGGCCACAGGCCCATCCAAGCAAGGACCTTGAGGGAGATGAAAGCCACTGCCAGACGTTTGCAAAAAGCCTCCAGCACGGATATCTTTCACACCTCATTTCTTCCTCATCCCCACCAGCCTCACGGCTGATCTCACAGCAGCTCGTGTTGTGTTTTCTGCAGCCATTCTCCATTTCCTGATGAGGCCAGGCTGCTGGAAAGGGTCTAGGCAAAGAAAAAACTATCAGCCAAAATCATTGCCCCTGCTTTCAAGGGGGGAAGGCGTCCTGTCCATGTCCTGCAGCCACTGAGAGACACTTTCTCAGGGCAGGGATTATTTCCATGCCTTTTTAAGGGTCAGACAGGCAAATAAGTACCTTTTTAGACAGGCAAATAAACACTTTGATTTGCATGAATGGAAAGTCAGCGACTTTTGGGAAGTTCTGTGGGCTGTTAACCTGCAGAAATACATTTCAGACAATGCATTTTTTCCTTTTCTAAAATGTTGAGCCTTTTGTTCCTTTTTTCTCTTTAAGACAGGCAAACCAAAACAAGCTGAAATTTTCCATCAGCATGCACTTCAGTTCAGAGCCAAAAAACTACTTTGAACCCAAACCTATATTTTGGTTCCAATGTTTTTTGGAGGAAAAAAAAACTATTAGTCAAAATCAACATTTTTTTTCCCCTGAGCAATCGACATTAGCTGACCTGCCCTTTTCCTCTGCCTTTTGGCAGGGGAGGCAAACAAACAGCTGCCTGCATAAAAATTCCTCTGGACCTGCAACTGGGTGTCTCGGCCACTGCCGGCCCCGGTGACGGCCATGCTTTTCTCTTCCAGGTGCTCCTTTTCAAAGGTCTCAGCATCCCCATGCTACCTCCTGCCGGCACTTCCACCTGGGTCCCCAGCCTCAGCTCTCGGCCGACTTCGCCCTGCCTCACGCAGTGCAGCCCCAGCCGGGGCTGACCCCCCACATGGCCCCCGCGCACCAGCACAGCGGCCCCCTGCACCAGTCCCTGGCGCCAGTGCCAGCCCTGCCCTTCCAAGACGTGGCCGGACCCTCCTTCCTACCTCAGGCGCTACACCAGCAATACCTCCTCCAGCAGCAGCTCCTCGAGGCTCAGCACCGCCGGCTCATGCCCCATCCCAGGTAAGGTGTGGTCTGAAGGAGTCGCAGGAACAGAAAGGGTTGGGTTGGGTTGGGTTGGGTTGGGTTGCGTAGGGTTGGGTAGGGTTGAGTTGGGTTAGGTAGGGTTGGGTAGGGTTGAGTTGGGTTGGTTAGGGTTGGGTTGGGTTGGGTTGGGTTGGGTTGGGTTGGGTTGGGTTGGATTGGATTGGATTGGGTTGGGTTGGATTGGGTTGAGTTGGGTTGAGTTGGGTTGGGTTGGGTAGGGTTGGGTAGGGTTGGGTTGGAAGGGACCTCTAAAGATTGTCCATCCGACCTCCTGCCATGGGGAGGGACACCTCCCACCAGACCAGGTTGCCCAAAACCCCATCCAGCCTGGTCTTGAACACCTCCAGGGATGGGGCATCCCATATCTGGGATGCTGGGAAGCTGTTAGGCTCAAGTTTGCCAAGCAGCTTCTGGAAAGTCCTGTCAAAACTTGCTGATAACATTAGGTTCTCTTCCAAAGTTTGCCTGCGTTTTCCCCAAATGCCTCCAGGAGGCTGCAGGCCAGGGTGCTCCAGGGGGTGAACCCTTCCCGTGGGGATCCACGCCATGCTCACCTAGCACGTCCCAAGGCCACCTAGTGCCACCACTTGTAGGGGACTCACAGCATAACACGCTGGGGTGGCAGTGAACCTGTCCTGCATCACAGAGAGAGGCAGACTGCATGCATGAGCTGCTGCCTCAAAACCAAGTAGAAGATGAGATCCACGTGGCTCACAAGTTTTTGCACGTGCAGAGCTCACTCGTCTGGACCTAGGTGTGCTTCCCAGCTGTTATCCGCCTCTGTGAAGTGAGACAGAACAAAATCATTGATCTACAGCACATTCAATCAGGAAAAACAGCCTAAATTCAGATGGGGCTGAGGACTGCAGAGAGAATTACTGCAGCTCAGCAGAGGTGGGAATGGGCGCCCAGCCTCATCCTGTCAGTGTTTGTGGAGAGAGGGGTTTGGATAACGTGTAGGAGCAGCGTGCTTTTTTTGGAAGCATATGGAAGCTGCTTGTGGGCTGTACCCGTGCACTGGGAACCAAAGGATGAGTCTTTGTGATAATGCTTCGTTTGGAAAGCATGCTACAGACGGAAAATGCTTTCTTTCTGTATCCTTTCTGTCTGCAAATTGCGGATTCTTCTCATCCAGCTTTTGTTTTGCATAAGCTGGATTTCAGGTGGATTTAACGATTAGTTAATAATTGGGTAGCAAATATGTGCGAGGCTGAGGCACTGATGATACAAGTGTTTATCCCTTAGTCATAAGCCGAATTCAAACAAAACTACAGAGCACAGTTTCAGATAGAAACTGCTCCAGTACCTGCTGGCAGTGTTACATATGCAAACAGGTTGTCAGAGAAGAGGGACTGTGGTGTGGGAGAGGGCAGGAGCCTCTCACCCAGCCCTGCAGCCTGCTCCTGAAGGCATCCAGCACAGCTGCTTCGTAGGAGGCTGCCAGAAACCATTGGGTATGGGGCACGAGGTCCAGGTAATGGGAATATGGGGGTGCCCTAAAGATGAAGCCTCTTCATTGTGCAGCTTTCCGATGTGTTTGTCCAGTGTTTTCCTGTGGATTATCTTTGTGATAGCTCCATTGGTGAGTGGGGACTCAGCAGAGAGTGTGGGGTCTCTGTAATGCTGACCCTGCTTGTGCAGCTGCCTCGCATCTCTCCATGCACAGACAGTGACCAAGCAGCACATGCTCTTTCCCTGAGTGGAGAGTAGTTCAGATGGACAAAAATCACAGGAAGAAACTTGATTCCCTAGAAAAACCTCACTGTATTTCCTACTACTTACCTCTCCCTGCTCGCAAGGGCAGCTGGAGCAGAAGAGGCTGGGTCCCAGGCTGGCACTTCCATCACCCACAGAAATGTTGGCAAAGGCCAGCAAGAATAGATTCTGCTGTCAGTTACTCCTGAGTGATCCTGTTATGAATGAGGTTCCCTGGGAGTTTATGGACTGCACGGGGAGACAAGACAACCTGCCTCTTCCTCATGATGATGGATAACACCCGCACCAGGAAGATGCTTTATCCTGTCTGTTGTTTATGGGGCTGACTGTGGAGAAAAAGAAAATAGTGAGAGAGACACAAAGATACTAAGGAAGAAGTTTAGTCTCCTCTTTATTTTTTTTCCTTGTTGCCACCAAATTACAGCTCATGTAAACTGAGCACATGAGGATGTTTCAGGGGATGTGAGTGGAGGTCTGCATCATGTCAGTGGTGACCAAGAGCAAATGCCATAGCTCTGGGTTTCTCTTCCCATCATCCTTGACACCTGTCTGGGTTCTTCTGACTTGGATGCATGACAGCGATCCCAAATCTTTGAATTTTCCCATTGCTTGTTGATGTGGGCTTGTGCCTACCCATTGCTAACTCGCTTCTGGTCTCTTCCTCCCGCAGGCGGGCTCAGGAGCGCATGTCCGTTCAGCCCCACCGCCTGCACCCCAGCTTTGACTTCAGCCACCAACTGCAAACTCCACAGCCCATGGGGCCCCAGCCCAGGTACTTAGCCGAAGGCACGGACTGGTAAGTCTTCCTCATCTCCCCAGTGTGTTGAACAAGGCACTTAAAAAGTCCTGTGGGGTTTGCAAATGCCTTCATGGCTTGGTGCTTCCGTGGGAGCTGGTGGTTGAGTAGAACAGAAAAAAAGTAAGGAGTGTGCAATGGGGAAACTCATCCCTGAGAGCCACAAGTCCATGCTAAAGCATTTATGCATGTGTAAGATAACATCAAGGCATTGATATTGCCCAAACCTCTCCATACATGGATGCAGAATGCACCTAAACCATAATCTTCCTCGGGGGCTTGTCATGCTGCAGCCTCCAGGGAAGCACCTTCCATGGTCTGTTTCATCTAGACCAATATCTCTCTCTGAATGAGACCTTCTGCTGCCCACCAGACACTCAAAAACAGTGTCCATAACTCTTCCAGAGCCTAAATTAGTGGGCACAGCCCTGCCCTGCCCCGAAAGGTGGGGTGAACGAATTAGTAGCTGTTAATCGTTCTCCCATCACAGTGTCTGATGCCCTGGAAAAGCTGAGCAAAGCATCAATTGCTCTGTTTTCAGAGCAAGTTTTGAGCTCCTGCACATTGAATAAGGCACAGGGCCCTACTCGGAAGAAAAGGAGAATAAAAACATATTTCTGAGTAGCTCCTTGTTAGCTGAGCAAAGCCCATTCTGTGCGTTGAAAGGAAAAAATAGCATGTGAACATGTAATTAGAGACAATCGTAGTGTGTATGCACAAGGGGACCAAAATAAAATGGCACAGGAAATCTTAATTATGGCATTTCCTAACATCTGAGTGGTTTGCTCTGCAAATGGAGAGTTCTTTTAACACAGTTTTTCTTCCTCCTCTGGGGTAATAACATACAACCTAAAATATGGCCAGATCCTTCTGTCATTTTCTTCTCAGGTGTTCCCATTACTGGTACTGCCATGAGGTGAATTTGGCCGGTGTGACATTGTTCAGACCAGGCTGCAAAGCGTTTCATGCTCCATCTGGGTAGAGCCACTCTTTCTGCTTCTCTTTCTGTGCATACCGCTTAATTATAATCATTAGAAGGATCCGATAAAGCATCATTTAATCTTCCCCTCCTCCTCCCCTCTCCTTCTCCCTCTGTGTTGCTGCGTTGCCTTACCAAACCTAAGGAGTGGGCACGCCAGAAATCACATACCGTGTACACATATTGGGGTGACTCACTTCCCCTCGGGGCACATGTACAGTTTTGCCCAGTGATGGATATAAAAACTTCCCTCTGATGTGTTATCACCACGTGAGCTGTGACAGTGCTCGCTCAGAGGCATGGGCAGCAGGCAGCGAGGTGGGAAGCAGGGCTGGAAGCTGGGGCTGAAGGTCATCCATCATCTAAGATGGCCAAGCCTTGGTTAAAATCTTCTGGTGGAGAAGAAATAAACTCCCCCTGAGCTCCATTCTGCATAGGCATTTATTGATGACCATTCAGCCTGTTTTCTTGCCCTTATGCCTCAGTTTTTAGTTGTTGGCAGCCCATGGACTGTACGCATTGCAGCTCTTGAACCTCACCTCTTAACCTGATGATGCAGTACCTGTAGCACAAGGCAGAAGGTGATGGTTAGTTTGGGTTTTCTTTAGCTAACGTGCTCTGGATGCTCATCCCCAAACCCTGGGAAAACACTGTTACATGCAGTGTTCTGCGTTGGGAAAGCATCACTTTCGGAGCTTCAGTGCTGGGCTTTTAGGATCCAGATGCAACACTGCACAGCAGTTCAGCAGTGCTGCTGTTGCAATTACTTGTGCAAGTTAATGACGCCCATTCGTCTTCAAGAAATCCCTTCAGCCCCTGTTCTCAAGGCGCTCTGTGGGTTATCACATCTGTCTGCAGGCAGGGAGTATCAGCAGGCAGAGAGGAGATGGCTGGAGTCGTACATCAGGCCAGAGGCAGGGCTGCGATGAACCCAATATCTGATAATTTCCAGTTGAGCCTTCCATCCACCTGGGAACCATCTCAAGCAGCAGAATAAATCTCCAAAAATGTGACATGGGAGTTGGAAAATGCCCAGTCCTGTGGATTCCCACCCTGGCTGTGTTCCTGCCTGTCTCCTGCTGTGTCTTATCCTCTGCCAGGCTTTGTCTGTCCAGGATATGGCTAGCACATGGCCAGCACACGGCCAGCAAAGACAGACCCCCTCTTTGCTCCAATTTGATGTGGGGGGAATTATTAGAGGGCATGAAAGCCCTGGAGTTATTACCTGGTACGCAGACCGTGCTGGGTAAGAGATTTTTGCATTTAGAATCACAGAATAAAATTTACTGTCCCCTCCTGTCCATTAACTGCTGCTGGGCACACTGCTGCTGTTTCACAGCTGCTCCAGGACACGTCTGGGTTGCTCCTAACAAGCCGTGGCACTCGCTGCTGCTGTCCTCCGCGGAGAGAAGGAGAACTTCAGGCTGGAACGAGGAGCAACCCCTGTGCTCTAATTAGTTTTGCTTTGACAAATGCGAAGACAATAGCTATCAGAGCGCTGGCTTTTGTAATTACGATAAAGTGAATGACATTCGGAGCACTTGTTTGCTGAGAGACTCGGTGGCTCGGGGAGAGACAAGGGACCAGCTAATTGGGTTACAGATAGATGGATTATGGATAGGTGCTGTGCTAGGTCTCCTCCAATCCCATCTGTGCAGGCTGGGATGGGGTTTGCAGTTGTGGACTGGGCAGAGCTGCGGTGTTTTTTGGGATCTCGGTCACTTGAAGTGGCAGGGTTGAACTGGGCTGATTTTGGGAGGGACAAAGCACCCAAACCCACAGAAATGAGCCTCAGAACAGGCTGTGTGCAGGGCAGTGGGACTGCCAGGGATGTCCTGCTTCACCAGTGGTGATCTGCTGGTTGTGTGATGCTGTTTCCTACAGCTGTATCATCCAGAAATATCTTAGAACCTTTATTATTTTTTCTTTATTGTTATTACTATTATTATTGCTATTGTTATTATTATTGTTATTATTATTTTGTACAAACAGCATTTCTGGGGTGCCCCGAGGCCAGGTTTGATGCATTCTCCCTTGCAGGCAGGGAATACCTCCCTTGTCCCCTCCAAACCTTCTTGTGACCTGGGCTGGGAGACCTCCAGAGAGGTCACAGGCACGGATGATGGGCTTAACAACCACCCAGAATGGCCCCTTGTTTCTTTGCCCTCAGGCATTTATCTGCATTCCTGCAAAATGAGGGCAAAATGTGATCATCTGCAATGATGGTGGCACAGGGAGGACCTGGCCAGGCTGAGTTACTGAGTCTGGGGATTGATCAGAACCCTCAAAACACTGCTCTGCAATTTTCAGGCTACACCCTGCAGCTCCTGACCCCAGCTAGCACAAATGCTAAGTGCAATAAAATCCTCCCCTTGCTCCTTCATTCTGCCCTGGTGGAGGGAAGGGCGATTGCCCAAATCCAAGGCTTTTAAAGCAGAAGCATCACCTCGTGTTGAGGCACCCCTGGCTGCTCAGAGCCCTCCCCTGCCATGAGCGTGATTTATCACAGCCCGTACCATGCTGCTAGACAGCCACAGCTCCACCTTCCTCCTCCTCGTGTCCACAGGGACCTCAGCGTGGATGCGGGCCTGACTCACGCCCAGTTCCAGGTCCGGCCGGTCCCTCAGCCCTATCAGCATTACTTGGCCACACCTCGGATGCACCACTTCCCCAGAAGCACATCCTCGACACAGATGGTAAGTGAAACGCCTTTACCGAGAAATGTTTTATGCATTGTCTGCCAGAAGGCAGTCAAAATAAAGGCTGCTATCTTTCTATCACCTGTCTTCTGCGAATCCCACTTATCTCCGGCCGTGGGAGGGAGTGTCTGAAAGGATAGGGTTGCATCATTGCACTCTGGGCTAGGGAAAGGAAAGAAAAGCTCAGCTGCTCTGGAAAGATTTGGTCCATCGCCTGCAGCGCACACACAAGCTGGTCTGCAAAACCTGGGAGACTCAATAATTATCAATAATAATGTTATTAATGCAGTGAACTTTGGGTTCCTAGGGCTCCCTGCATGCAGAAGGACTGGAGTTAGGTGGCAATTCCCCATGCCCAGCCCCCAAGACCACATCCTTCCTCATATATTTGCCATCTGCATCGGCCTCGATGCCTCCTATTAAATTTGTGTGTGACCTGTTGCGCAGGTGGAGCTAGGATTTGACAAAAATATCTTAATAACATTAAGATGGGCAGACCAGGGTCATTTGCTGGTCCTTCTATCAGGGAGCTGCGTTTGGAGCTGAGCCACCCAGAGCCCCACTCATCTTTAAAGCAGCCTCAGAGATCCCACGAGGATGCTCTTCCCTTGTACCCATAGTCCAACCCTGACACCTGCACACTGCTGCAAAGCTTTAAATACCAGAGGTTGGGTGAAGAGAAATCAACACATTTAAAAATGAAAATTAAATTTCTTTTTAAGCTAATCCATGTTGAGAGTTTGGAGCTTTAGTGTTATGGATGCTATAGGAATAATTATAACAAAGAGTTTATCTGACATATTTATAAGACATGCGAGTATGTTGTTATTATTTATAGGAGATCTATTTTTTTTTTTAGTTATTAATCTACTCTTTTTTTTTTTTTTTTTTTTTTTGGTTATTAAAAGACTTCCATCGGGGAAGGTGTCAGCCTGCCCTCTCATTTTCAATTTTTGAACCGCTAAATTTAAATCAGGGCACACGAGGGATTTCTTTGTGCTAGCACAGGTGGCTTTATTTTTCTCCCTCACTTCCTGCAGGTTGTTCATGAGATCAGAAATTACCCTTACCCTCAGCTCCAGCTACTTGCTCTTCAGGGACTGAACCCAAGCAGGCACACGTCGGCTGTGCGGGAGAGCTATGAAGTACGTATCTTGGGGACTGCGATTATTAAATTTTTAAGCCCTGGGAATCCATGCAAGCTCTGGCATAAACTCATAAGGCTGCCTGATGGCTTGGCAGCCGCAGATGGGAACGGGATGGAGACCTGCAGCCATTTGAGTAATAACCAGGAAGCAAAAGGGGTTGGGCGGCTTGGTGAAAGATGTTTTATTCCAGGGTGCCTGGGTCTGGCTCTGGCTGACTCTGGCTCCCTTCATGGCTGTAAGCGAAGTGCTGCAGTTCTATGGGGTTTTGTTTCCTGACCTGCCAAACGGGGCTCAGAATCCACCCCAGTTTCTGAAATATTCGGTATCCTCTGCTCCTCCACTGCTGCCTCCCATGAGCAATGCTGATGGCATTTTGCTGCTGTTCCCTTGCCGCAGGAGCTGCTGCAGCTGGAGGACAGGCTGGGCAGCGTGAGCCGGGGCGCCGTGCAGAACACCATCGAGAGGTTCACCTTCCCACACAAGTACAAGAAGGTGAGCTGCCCAAAAATATGGCATGGCTGCCACCCCCCTGCAGCTGCCCAAGGGTTGTGTGCATGGAGTGGACAGAAGGAAGGACTTTGGGGGGTTGCAATCCTCAGGGGTGGCAAAACAGCATCATTGACTGAAATATTCTCCAAAATGGACCGTGAAATCCAGAACTGGTGGTTTAGCATCTTGTGGGACTGCTGGGTTGACGTGGTGGTGTAGCTCTACTCCCTGTCCATGGTGTGGGGGCAGCTCGCCCTCCTTTCACTTTGCAAGGGGCATCTCCTCCGTTGGAGCTGAACTCTTGCCCTTAAGGAACTGGATGCCAATTTTTTGGGGTACTGCTAATGGAAAACAGGAAAATTGCTCATTTGGGTAGAAATGTCATGTTTGTCATCCCCTGTGACAATAAATATGTTTCATTGCCCAGGTTGGAAGGGACCCAGCTCCTGCTGCACTTATCTCTGACCACATCTCCAGTGGATGCAGAAAGAAAATAAGTTATTTGGAGTGGGTGTGGGGGGGGAAAGGAGAGGAAGGATCTGGCAGGCCAAGAGCTGCCCCATGGTGCAGTAAGGGTCTAAGCCAGTGCCCTAGCTGACGAGGGGCACAGTGGTTTCTGTTCTTGCTGGCAGTGGTGACCCTACACATTTTGGGGTCTGCAGGAGAAGCACGCACCAAAGGAGACTGCGGCACTTCCATCAGCCCCACTGCCCCCAGTTCTGGGAGGTGGCCCAGCAGTGTGCTGGTGGCATCCTCCCCCCGCTGGCTGTTTTGGCTGGGCTGGGTTCCCCAGGCTGGAGGATCTGGCTGATAGAAGAATCTCTTACTCTTTGCCTTCCTGCAATGACCCAGGCCTGGCAGAGCATTAGCAAATCAGTTCCCAACTAAATTATGTCTTTAACCTTGCTGCAGAGAAGACCGCAGGAGGGCAAAGCTGAGCAGGAGGATGGAGAGGAGTCGGACACTGATGAGAAATGCACAATCTGTCTGTCCATGCTTGAAGATGGAGAAGACGTCAGGTATGACCCTTCCCTCTGTTCCACTGCCTCTCGGTGACACCTGAGTTGTGCTTATCCCAAAAACACTGCCGTGCCTTGGTGGGGCTGTTCTTGCAGGGTTTAGGAAAGCACATGCCAATGTCCAACTGAAAGGGACAGATTTTTGATTTTTTTTCATTGGATCTCCTGGGTTTGGATCACCTGCTTCAAAACCTTGTGTTGGGTGGCCAGATGTCCTAGGATAATGGGTGCCAGGCCTCAGAGAGCCATCGGGAGCCCATGGGCATCAATGTCTTGCCTTTACAAGATGATCAAAGTATGATAAAAGGGAGGTTGTGTGTCAAGTACAGGGGAATGAGGCTTGTGGTTGGGGTGTAGCTGCTTTTTAACAGAACAAGGGAGATCTCTCAGCCTGCATGGTCACAGGGAGCATCCTGGGCCACAGCAACACCCCTGCTGTCAAGGTGCCCAGGCTCTTGGCTGGGTCAAGACTCTGCTTGATGGGGACAAGCAATTAGAAGAGCTGAGCTATTGGTGAAGGAGCTTTGGGTGGGCAGTGCATCTGCACTAGTTGGTCCTGCTCCTCACCCTTTAGCTGCCTTAAGCTGTTGTGAAGAGCTCTGGTCTTTTTGCTGTGGGCCCTTGTGGTTTGGGATCCTTCCTGGCTAATGAGAGTCACCAAAAAGATGGCAAATGTGATATGGATGAAAAGGAACCACATTCCATGGGGCACACCGGACACATAAGTAGGAGCAGTGGAGACCCACTGACTGCTGGTGAACCACCAGGATCAAGAACCCAAGCTTATAACTTGACACCCTTGAAAGGATAAGAGCAGCAGCCAGGGTAGTTGGTCACTGCAACAGCTCAGCTCAGGAGAATGTGGGATCTTCTAAGAGGTTTTGGCCAAGGACACCATCTCTGCCCTACTGCCCCAGGGTAAGCTGGTGTTCCAGTGCCACCGCAATGATGCTTCCCCATGATGAAAGCAGCCCCGTTTGCACCTTTCTGGATGCCCTCGGTCCCCTGAACCCCCTCCACCCACGAGGTCCCTAACGGGTGGTGCTTCTCTCTCCACAGGAGGCTACCTTGCATGCATCTCTTCCACCAAGTGTGCGTGGACCAGTGGCTGGCCACCAGCAAGAAGTGCCCCATCTGCAGGGTGGACATTGAAACACAGCTCGGCTCGGACAGCTGAAAGGACTGGCTGGACACACCATTTTCCTTATCAGGTCGTATGGCCATAAACCCTTGCAGCAAAATTTTTGCCTTCTGAGCCATTTGATTGAGAGGAGAAGTCTGCAGGCACGTTAGCGAGGAGGAGGAGGAGGTGGCAGTACAATATCTAGCGGTAGGAGATATTGCACATACGCAGGATACGGGCCCGGTGAAAGGGAGCTGGCATTCCCGGAGCTCAGAGACCCCGTGCTGCAGAAGATTTAGTGTTGAACGTGAAGGAACTAGTTGTGGTAGTCTGGCCTGTCAATCCTGCATTTCATGAGGATTGTATATATACCTCTCGAATACGTAGAAACATGTTATAGGGGTCCTTTAGCTATTTCTATGGATGGCAGCTGGAGCATGTTAGCTTAAGAAATGTTGTGTTTGATGCCCTACTCATCTTGTGGTGGACATGTTGCTGTTACCTAATTTGCACCAAATATTTTTTCATAGATTCCTTATTTTGGTGCCTGATTAATACATTGCAGAGGGGGAACGAGGAGGTCAAGCTTTCCCACCCTTGGGGGGAAGAGGCGAAAAAGCAAAATCCTGTTTACAGTCAGAAGGGTTGTGCTCTTTGCCTCGGCCGCGTGTGCTTCCTTTCCGTGCATTTACAGTGCTGCAAATTCAGAGACGCTTACAAAATAAAATGAAATTGGGAACAAAATGAGTGAAGCAATAGGGAAAGGCTTCCCTATAAGCTTCCTGCTTATCTGCTGGTGCTGGATGCTTGCTGGAGGGGCACGATATCAATGGGGATGCTGTTTCTTTGCTTTCTGTATCTTAACAAAGTGGCTTGGCGTGCCAAAATCCAAGGCAGGCCATGTGCTCTCTCCGTGCTTGCTATATTCCATACTGCTTTCTCCTGTGAGCCAGGGGCTGGTTGGCTTCAGCACGCTGTGGCATGGCCCCCTGGGGTTAGACACCTCCCAGGCTCCTTGCTGGTCTAAAATGCTGGTTATGGAGCCAGCTCCTGTACCTGTGCTTTGGGGTGTAATTGCTCAGAGGAAGCTCCAAGGGGCTGAAGCCCAACGCCACATGATTTGGGGATATTGCTAACGCTGTGGCTGGGCTGGGGTAGAGCCGCAGACAAGATGCCCTGCTCCTGTTCCCCCTCCCAGCCCGCAGCAGGGTGGGAGAAGGGGAGCAGGGCCTTTTTGTCACACGCGGTCACCCTGCTTCACTGCTTCCCCAGTGATTTATCACAGCACAGGGAGGTTAAGCAGATGTACGGCACAGGTGGGAACCTTTCTTTTTCATTTTTTTCCCTTAATCCGCTTGGGTTCATAGGCTGTGGGGTCAAGTCTCTCAGAGCAGGGATTGCAGAGACCCTTCTCTGTTAAAGGAATGGGAGGATTTGTTGCTCATGAGACATCAGTGTGGGTGTTCTGGTGCAGGAAGGGAATGCCAGCTCTCGAGGGTTTGCTGCCTTCTGGAGGGGCTGGGTTTAGCCCTGTATCAGAGCATTGTTATACACAGACGCATTTCACTCCATATCCATATGGAGAAAAAGGTGATTATTAAAATGAAACCTAATTTACCACTTTCCATTATAAAAACGCACACAACTACATCAGGAGGCAGTCCTTAGAACAGAAGTATCACAGAACCATTAGGGTTGGAAGAGACCTCCAAGATCATCTGGTCCAACCATCACCCTACCACCACTGTCACCCACTAAACCATGTCCCTAAGCACCACGTCCAACCTTTCCTTGAACATCCCATGAAGGAGCAGGCCTTTTTGACCCAAGCTCCCCCTGAAGTAAAGACCTCAGCTGCAGTGACCCAGCTGAAAACCCTTTGGTGAATAGGCATTTACAACCAAAAAGCCTTTTTTTTTTTTTTTTTTTTTTTTTTGGAAACTAGGAAAAGAGAGATGCAGAGGAGCCAGGGGAACAAATCCTGAATTTTATATATTTATTATGCAGATGTGGCGGAGCTGAATTGTGGCTCCCCAAGCACCCGTTCTGCTGGAGACAAGAGATGCTCTCCACGTATAAATGATCATAAATTACCATCTGGGAGATTGCAGGATTCCCATGAGCTGTACCAGGAAAACACCGACCTCAGAGGACCCACAGAGATTAGTATTTTTATTTTTACCAACCTGCTGATGAGAGTGAGGGAGGGGGCAAGGGGCAGCAGGAGACTTTCTCCCCTCTCACTGTGCCTGTGTCGGTAAAAAGGAGTGAAGGGGGGGTCACAGTGATATATATTTATTGTGGTGACATTTATTTGCCACCTGTGAGAGGTGGTTTCACAGGAGATACAGCAGTCCCAGCCCTGATGTCCGGAGTGATGTGGACTCCTGCAGCAAGGGGTGACCCACTGGGACATAGGGGGCTTGCTCCAGCAGCAGCAGATTCAAGCAGCATTAAAAATAATCCTAATACTACCAATAACACGGACAAGAAAAGCGAGATGTTGTTCGTAAAGCACACTGTAAGCCGGGCTGGTGCACCCAGGTGTGAGCTGGGGGCGAAGCAGGGGAGGAGCGGGGCAGAGGGACCCTGGCTGTGCGGGGAGGGAAGGAGGAGCGCTTCCGAACCGCGCCTTTTCTTAAAGCCTATGCGAGAGTATTACTATCTGCCTAACGAACAAGCACAGTTTTTAGATATATATTTAAAAAAAAAAAAAGTAACAAAAAGACAAAAAAATCTGGTGAAGAAAAGCACCAAACTCCCGTGGTCTCATGTGAGTGACTGATCCCGAGGTGCGTGAGAACCGTGTGTCAGGTTCCTCTTTGCGTTGAAATCATTTCTACGAGTGGGTCGCGATGATAGGTGGAGTTTAAAAACAACAACAACAACAAAAAAACAACAAACCAACAACAAACAAAACAAATGAAACACACAGAAAATCTCTAGGAACAAAACATTGATAGTTTACAGGGTTTTGTGAGTTTAAATGCCTTATATTTAACAATCATAATTTATGACTAACTTGTAGATATTGTGGGTTCTTATTTAATTATTTTTATAGTTGTTTTTTGCATTTTTAATTATAATTTATTTATTTAGAAATTAATACTAATTTTTTTTATTACTCCTATTACCTCATTTTTGCATTGTTTCTGGGAATGGAATGCTTTGCATGCGTCGGTACTTAAAAAGAAATTAAACATGGGATGTGGGGGTAATGCTTATCTTGTCAAAAAAAAAAAAAGAAAAAAAAGAAAAAAATCAGGGTGTGTGATTACAAACTGTATTACTGTGGTGCTGTTACCTTGGATACATTCCATAAAAATGCAAACCTTTGATTCTGTATGCTGTGACATAGTGGAAAACTGCAATATAGTGACTGTGTTTAGCACATATATATGAATATTATTTGCACTCATAATCAAACTCTGGTGATCCTTTCACTCGTGTCCTTGAGCATTGAAGGCAGTTCGTAGTGCCCTGAAAAACCAAAATTTCAGTCAATTCCTGCCGCCACCCTGTCCCAGTGCCCGTGGTGATGCTCCTGCCCTTGCTGCATGCGTTACCTGCAACAACGCCTGGTGGGCCCCGCTGCAAGGCTGTGCTTGGGGCAATGCCTACATTCAGTGCATGACTCTGCAAATTGTTTCAAAAAAATGTGGAGGGGAGCCCAGGTGCTGTGGTTCTGTTGTTTTTTTGGTGCTTGTTGGGAGCTTGGTCTGGCTGCGTGTCCCCTGCCAAGCCACCCCTGCATGCACCCAGCTGGGAGCTCCAGGGGGATGCAGGAGGGAACTGGTGGAGCCTGGGTTTGGACACCACAAAACCAAGGGTCTGCCAGCAGTTTTTAGGGGATGACCCCCCTTCCATCTGGTTTTGCATGGCGTGGTGCTGTCAGGGGAGGGTGGTGGGACCTCAGCTCCTTCACTGCTCCCAGACGGACCTGGGAAATGGGGGCTGGATGGGCAATTTGGGATCCTTTTGTCACACCAGGCCTTGACACTTGGCTATAATCCAACTGTAAAACATGCCTGGAGCAGAAGCCCTCAAAACTAACCTTCCTGTGAACCTTCCACTTGCTTTTGGCCCCTCTGTTGGGGCAGAAACCTTGACTTGAGGCTTGTTGAACTGCTGTAGGGTTGCGAGAGGCACTGGAGCCTCCCTGCCCTGTTACCCCCAGGTCATCCCCAGGGGACCAGCCCTGGGCTGATGTCTTGTTCCTGCAGGAGTGGCCAAGCATCCACGTCCCCATCCCCAGCCACGACTGCACCGCTGCTAACACGCTGCCCCTTCCCAAAAGGCTCCTGAATATCCAGTGCTTGAACCATGCAGGAGGGTTTTAAAGCACCCCAGAAAACATTTTAAGCTTTAAGCCATAACTGCTGTGGGTCAGCACAGATGCTCAGCTGTGCATGAACGCAGAAGCAGGGCTCGATGTGTCCCCCCCACCCCAAAAGGCTTTAGAAGCAAATCCCTTTTGGGGCTGAAAGGCACGACACGACTGTACCTTCATCCTTCCTCTTCGTCCCTTCAGGGTGCTGCTCTGCTTTGCTGCCTTTGCCTTACCCTGGGTTTCCGCGTCTTCCCTTGCTGCTCTGTAACTTTTCTCCCTTAAACTGTGTTTTTGGGCTGTATGGGGATAGGGGCTGGGTGTCACCCCACAAAGACACCATCAGAGGGACACGTAAAACATGGGGCAAGCAGACAGAAATCCTCCCCTTTAATGGCCCGGGCTGGTGAAAGGATCACCCACATTTTTGTACTCCTACTGCTGTTCTGTTGTGCTGTGCAACATTTTGCTACATAGACTATTTTATAGAAGAAAGCTAGAAAAATATTTATTATTAATATTAAAGCAATAGTGCATTGAAGAAATGAAAAGACATTAGAAATTGTGTAAATGCTTAGATTCACTTTTGGTGGATTTTTTGTACTTTATTTATAACTAATAAAATGAACTGCATTGCTAACTATAAACCTGTGCGAGCTGGCAGGACGCTTGTATGGTCTTTATTTACCCCTGAATCCTGACCCCCACCTGTGGCCACCATGTGAAACCCACACAAGTGGGTGCCCAAAGCCTCCTGGAGAACCCCCCGTTGAAGGTGAAGCCTTCAGCATGCAGAAAAGTGAATGCTGGTGGAGATTTTTCTGCCTCCTTCAGCCCTGAAGCAGGAGGAAAAGAAAAACCTACTGAAAAATGAAATAGCAGTCATTAAAGAACTTTAAGGTGGACAGAGTTGAGGGTATTTTCCAACCTTTTGTCACCCTTGGAGAACACAAGGGGTAAAACACCCAACTTCGCAGCCCTTTTCATGGGTCCTCTTGTTTTTTTTTTTTTTTCTTGTAATGAGTGGTGTCAGTCTCCCTCCTGCCTATTTTCCAGATGGCTTTTCCTCCTCATGTGTTTCATGTCAAAAGGCTGTGACCAGTCTCAATTATGTGATTAGACCAAGCATGCCCTCGGGACAGACGCTGCTGATCAGGAGATTTGGTTCCTGCAGCTGGGCAGAACTGCTGGCTCCTCTAGCACCCAGTAAGGGCTGTGCTAGGGATGCCTCCTATTCAGGCAAGCTGAAACTCCTGTTATAGCAAGCTTTTACAAATTCTATCAGAAAGCAGGGAAAGCACACTTGCTCAACGAGATCTCACTGATGTCCTTCAAAAGGGTTACAGCACTGAGAGCTGCTGGAGATCACAATCGGTTTTGCTTCAAAGCTGCCACAGCAGAGCACAAATGTGCTGCTGAGATCTGATCACGGCCCTGCCGAGCACAACGAGCTGAAAATGGCTTTGCACCCATTAGGGCACAACATCACGGCCACTGCGGGCATCCACTCTCTCTATTTACCTTTTTTTTTTTTTTTGTAGTAGCTAAACCATCAGCTGGTCCAGGGGTTGAAGGTCAGAGCTGTACAAGCCCACAAGTAAATAGAAATAATAATAATAATAATTATTTTTTCAATGGGGCATCTTTTCTGTAGGGTGGATGCTTCACAGCCCTGAGTTACCCTGCCTTCGTGCACATAGGGTTGGTGTGGGTGTACCAAATGCCATCGGATGTTTCACTGCCGCTTCCCAGAGATGCTTGGTTTAATTATCAGTGTCCTGCAGCAAGAAACAGCCAGTCCCTACCCGTTAATCTGACACTGAGAAAGTCTCCTCGGTTATATTTGCTGTCACTGAGAGCACCAAAGTGCAGGATGTTATCAGGCTCCCAAAATGATGGGGACCACAGAGAAGAAAGGACAACCCATTTTTGCAGTTTCCTGCTGGGTGCCAAGTCCTTGTCCTGTGTCTTCACTTCTCACCCACATTCCTGTTTTTTTTCTTTTTCTTTTCATTATTATTATTATTTGTTGAAGGCATGTGCACTAAACCCACACCAATTAAGAAAAAAAGAGCAAAAAAAAAAAAAGGTGGAAGGTAGGGGAGCAGGAGCTGTGCATCTGCCCAACACACAGCTTTGGGGAGCTCTGCCCCAGGAGGCAGACATGCCCTGAGCCCTGCAGAAAGCACAGAGCTAGGGCAGTTTTGGCTTTTTTCCTCCCCAGTCCTCTGCTTGGCCAGGAATGTGTTGGGTTTAGCAGCTTAATGCAAATCCAGCCCTTGGAAAAACTCCACTCTGCTGATTACTTTTGTGGCGTTAGTAGTTGTAGCAACAGGATGACTCCCCAGAGCTGGGGTGGAGCTGGGTTTTGCACAAACAAAGGGTGTTTTTAGAATCTTTAGAAGAAAAAAAGATTTTTTTTTTTTTTTTTAATGCTTTGCCAGTATTGCCTTCCGGGGAGAGAGTGAAGTTGCTGACTCCATATCAGCAAACTCCCCCTTGACCCTCTTTTAGGGCAGCATAGCCTGGAGTTCAGCACAGCTTTTGGGTTGAACATGCCCATCCAGAGCTGGCAGGTGGTTTTGATGTCAGCCTAGGTATTTGCAATCCCTACACAGCAATTTGGTGGCCGCAAAGTTGCTCATTCCTGCTTCGACAGGACCTGTGATCTGTGAGTTGTGGCTGCAGCTACTTGTTACATGATTGCTTCCAGATGGAGCCTGTCCTGATGCCGTGCCATCTCACAAGCACGTCCTATGCACGCCAAGGATTTCCCCGTTCTGCCTGCCCCACGCAGGAGGGTGTGGATCAGGAGGTGCTCCCAGGGGCTGGGAGCATGGAGCAGTGAAAATCCTACTCACACAGTAGTGAAATCCCTCCTGTTGCTGATAGAGGTCCAAGTGAGGTGCCCCAGCACACACCTCCAAGCTTGGCCATCAGTGCATGGGGAGGGGGATTCCAAGGGACATGTCCTACCACCTGGTAGGTGGTATCAGGCAGCTGAGTGTTGGGAGGAGGAAAGAAGCCTTCACCCCACCTGCTGAAGCTGCAACACTTGGCTGGGGGGAGCAGACCCCTTCTGTGGCTGCCTCATAAAGCAACCTGAGCTCATTAGAGCACCCTGGGAGCCGAAGGTCTGCCTCCTCCTCCTCCTCAGCAAGCCTGGCTGCTGGACAAACCCATCACACTAAAGGCTGTGAGTTTAAAGATTAAAATGAATGACAGCTGCTTGGAAAAGGGGTTGGTGTTCAGGCTGTGAGGGGTAAGATTGTCCTGAGCCAGCTTTGAATACAATTAACACGGCTTCCTTGAAGAGGAGTGGGTTGTCTGCTGGGTCCTCTGCTAATGTGCTCCCAGGAGCTGCTCTGGCTGCCAGAGCCCTTGGACCTTCTGAATCCAGCCTGGGAGCTGGGTCTGGCATGGGAGGAAAGCCCATGGGTGGAAAACAGCCCCCAAAACCCACCACCCGAATCCCAGGCAGTGTTCATATGTAGGAACATGTGCTGCAGTGGTGTGAGACAAAACCAGGATGTCCCAGTTCAACTTTCTTAAATATTTTGTCTCAATTTCATACTTCCCTTTATTCACCCCAAAAGGGAAGCAGACAGCGTGGAGGCCAGTGGGCATTTCCAGCCCCAGCAGGGCAAGGTGCTGAAAGCAGGAGGTGGCAGCTGAGCTGCTGCTGGGAGAGTTCATGGGCCAGCTACTGGCAACCTCCAATTGTAGATAAGAAAGAAGTGAATTTATTTTGTTCACAATTTTATATCCATTAAAAAAAAAAAAAAAGAGTATTACTTTTACAAAACTTGAGCCCAGGAAGCACATCTTGCTACTAAAAATCTCTGCATACAAAAGGCAGCATTCTGAAAAGGAAAATGCAATATAAAACCACAAGGTGGGAAAAAAATGCTTGTCCTGAATGGAGCAAAACAATGTCCTGAATGGAGCAAAACACTCCTCAGTACCTAGGGAAAAGCTCCCTCCAGATCAACCCATCGCCCCGGTTCTCATCCAGCCACTTCCCGCAGGGGAATATGGTGGTGACGCCAGTGGCCGAGTTGGTGATCTCCACCCTCTCCACCAGCCAGCCGGGTGCCAGCCCACTGTTGTCGTGCTCGATCCTGACTTTTTTGAGCTCGCCCATGTCCAATGTCTCCAGGTAGAACCTGTTGGTTTTGCCCCTCTCAAAGAGGTTCCTGAACTTCTGCTTCAGGGCACGCTTGCCCGAGTCCCCGTTCAGCCCGAAGATGGTGATGAACACATTGGCGTCTGTCCCTGCCCCCTTCTCAAAGCCCGTGACCACAATGGTCTCGTATTTGACTGGCACCAGGCTGCGGGCCTTGCTGGCAAAGCTCTCGGTGACCTTGGCACACTCGAAGACTTTGTAGTCCCGTCTCTTGTACCGCAGCGGGATCTTCACGTTGCACCTGAAGAAGTACCTGCCGGAGGGAAGGCACGTTAGTGGTGCGGTCACCTCCTTCTTGTGAGGGTGCTATGGACCTGTTGCAATACTTTTCCATCTACGTGCTAGCACTGGAGTTCCCCCCCCCGACAGACATCCAGGCTGAACACTGCAGCTGCTGGAAAATCCCATATTTCCCTTCACAGACAAGGACAGGCTGCATTATGAGGGCTGGCGTGGGGCAGCTCCCACCTCTGTTGGCTGTGTGATGGCACGTCTAATTGCAGAGCCACCGAGGAAGGCAGCAATCAGCCCTGTACCTAGCACAGCCTGCCTCTGCGGAGCTCAGCCGGTCTCAGAGGTTGCATCCCTGCAGCAGCAGCACGTGAAGGGAGCTCAGCAGCAGCCCTCACCCACACTGCAGTGAGGATCAGGTTAGGAATCAAGAAAATAAAGGATTGGGGAAGATGGGAGGAGGAGGTTTAGACAGCCCCCCGTTCCTCCTCTATACCACCCAGCCCATCCTGTGCAGGCAGAAGTGCTTGGAGCATGGAGGTGATGGGTACCAGATGCTGAAATCCCTCGGCTCTGCGCTGCTGCCCCTGGGGGTGTGCAGGGAGCACAGAACGGGCTCACAAATTGCTGCACACCTGGCAGCCTGCCAGAGGCTGGGGCACGGCGCTTCTAATGATGTATTTCATTTCCAGTGATGCAGATCATTTCCCAGTGAGTTTTTCCCCCTCCTCCCTCTCCCCCCATGCCAAATTGCAGCAGGTCCTCCCGGGGGGGAGCGTGGCTGGACTGCAGCACGTGTGAGTAAAACCAGCACCTGGAGGAAGGGTTGCTGCTGCTCTTCGAGCTGTAGTGCTTCTTAAACACTTCCAACTCTTTTGACATTTTATGCAGCCAAAGAAAAGCTCTCTATTCCCTGGAAAGAGGGATTGTAAATGAAAAATTCTGCCGGGAGCAAAATTTTAGGCTCAGGGACAGAAAAATTGCATGAAAATGGATGGGGAGGCTGCCTGATGCTGCAGTTTTATTTCCTGAACTGCATTATTATGGTCTGGATTATGGTGGAGCAAGCCAGTCTTTAAGAGAGGCAGGAAGGAAAAAGATAATTTCTGTAGCCCTGGGATTTGGAATAAAAACCTTCCAAATACATACATTTTGCAAACATTGAATACCAAAAGGAAAAACAAAACAAAACAAAAAAGCAGTATCATTCAAAACTATTGCTATAGCAAT